CGGGTGGGGACGGCCGGATGCCCGCGGGCGCCCCACGCGCTGCTCCACCGCCCGGAGCCAGACGGCGGCGCTGCTGAGGGCGGCCCGGCCCCCTCTGGGCCGGGCAGCGCGCCCTGGAGGCGCCCCCGACGTGGCCAGCAGGAGACAGGGCTGGGGGCGGCCTCAGGCTCTCTCCGTGGCCGGCGCGCCTCCTGGGGGGCGGGGGCGGGGGCGCGGGTGCCGCTGGTGGGCTGCGCAAGTGAGCGCAAGTGAGCGCGAGAGGTCACAGGGGTGGGTGGGGTGCGGGGCCCCGGGAGCGAGCCAGAGGCCGGGGCCGCGGCCTTCCGGGCTGCGGGGCTCCCGGGCCGGCCCCGCGACCTGCGGCCAGTTTGCACCTGGACGGCAAAGTGCATTTGGGGAGGAGCCTGCAGGCTGGGGCGCCCACCCGCCCCGGAGCTGGGCTGCGGGCCCTGACCCCCAGGAGAGGAGGCCGCACACGGGGGCCGCACCGGGCCCTCGGCAGCCGCTGCCGGCTCGGGACAGGGCTCGGGGCCGGCCGCCCGCCCTGCAGGTGCCCCGGGTGCCCGGGCGCTGCCAGCTGAGGCCAAGGCGGCTCTGCCAGGGGCTCCCACCGCGGCGCGGGGTCACCTCGCCTGCCCCCCGTGAGGTGCGTGGCCCGTCTTGCCTCCCAGGCCCTGCGACGGACGCGGCTTCAGGCCCAGGCAGCGGGTGAGCGGCAGCAGCGCCCCTTCTCCGGGGCCGTGGCCGCGTGTGCGCTGACGACTCGCGTTACGGAGCCGTGTCTGCGCCTCAGAAGAGGGGGCAGAAAGCCTGGCTCCGGCACGGCTCCCACGGGGTCCCCACCCCGAGCCACCCCGCGTGCCCCGGCTGCCCTCCAGCCAGGCCCCCACGCCCAGCTCAGGCTTGCAGGAGGCCCCAGCGCGCGTGGGCGGCCCTCGGGTGCCGGTGACCGCGGCCCCCTCCCCCGCCCGGAAGCGCCGGTGTCCGGCCGGGAGGGCCGGCGGGGACGGGCTGCGCTTGCTCGCCCCGGGCTGTGAGTGGCCTCGAGGCCTTGCCGGCCTTTCCTTTGAAACACCTAAGCCTCCGTGGAAAGCCGGGGAGACCCTCCACGGACGCCCCCACGCTGCCCTCCCACCCAGAAGCGCAGACGCCGTCACCCATGGACAGCGGCTGCCGCCGCGGCCTGAAGCAGACGGCCCGGCCCGGGCCCGTGGGCGGCTGCAGCCAGGGCGGGCCAGGCCCGGTGCCCGCGGCGGAGGCGGGTCAGCACCCTGCCAGCCCGGCCAGGCGGAAACGGGCGCCGCCCCCCACGAGGGCACGTGGAGGCCCCGTCCGGGAGCCTCTCCGAGGCGGGGAGCAGAGGCCCCTGAGCTGGGCCGCGCCCTCCGCCTGTGGGGAGCCAGTGCACACAGGCCAGCGGGCCTCGGCGCCGCACCGCGGGGCGCGCACTGGGAAGCCGAGGCCTGGCCCGGCGAGAAAAGGCGGACGCAGGGGTCCAGAGGTGGAGGGAGGATGCGGCCGCCACGTGTGGGTCCGGCCGGCCAGTGCGCCCGGCTGCGAGCGGGCGAAGCCGCCACCTGGAGACACCAGCGGCACCAAGGACTCCCTGCCGGCCCTGGCCAGGGCCCGGAAGGGCAGAGCGTGCTGGACAACACCTGCCCGTTCCGGCCGAGGAGCGGGGCCAGGACTGCGGCTCTGGAGACTGCCCGCCCCAACGCTGACCTGCAGGGCCTGGCTCCCCCCCCCGCCCTGGGGGCGCAGTCACGGGAGACGCGCCCCCACCATGGTGATGGTGGGGACACCGGGGAGCAAAACAAGGCCCCACCTCCAGCCAGGGCCGGGACCGGGAGGAAGCAGCGTCCTGGAGGAGCCAGGCGTGTCCACAAAGGGGACATGGGGAGGAGACTGCGCCAGCACCCCAAACCCCTGCTCTGCCGAGCGCCCTGCAGAGGGGCGGGCGGGCGAGGGCGCCCACAGCCGCAGCCCCAGGCCTGGCCACCCCAGCCCAGCGGCGCGGACTCGGGGCCGTGCCGGCCACCTCTGGGCGGCTGCGTCCTCTGCGTCCTCTGCCCGCGGCTCTGGCCCAGGCCGGGGGCGCCGAGCCCCGCGAGGAATGGAACCGACTGGGCCAGCTTGGCCCACACCCACACGCCGGTCCCGAGCCGGGTCGCCCCCACTCCCCCGCGCGGCCCCCAGAGAGGCGCCTGTCCCGTTGCCTGAGGCGGGGAGCCGGCCTGGGGCAGCCGCGGCCTCCAGAGCTGCTGCGGGCGGGACCCCACTGTCCCGCGGTGGGGCGGCTGCGGCCCCCTCGGCGCCGCTCCTCCGGGTGTCTTCTCGCAGGCAGGGCGAGCACCCCAGCCTCGGCCGTGGGCGCCCTGGGCGGTGACTCGGCACAGGTGCTGGCGGCCGGGGCGGACCCCGAGGCGAGCGCAGGCCCTGGGGGCAGGGCATCCCACCGCGTCCAGCGCCCCGGCGTGGGGGGGGCGGCGGGAACCGCAGCAGGGGTACCCGTGCCCCTCGGGGTGGGGTGCTGCCCTCTGTCCTCCCCCACGTCACCCCAGGGCCCGTGGGGGAGGTGTTTGCGGGCCTGGGCTGGGGGTTCCAGTGCCCGGGCGCAGTGGGGCGCAGGGGAGCGCCCGCATGGCTGCACCTGCTTCCCCGCACACAGCAGGTCGCTGGCCAGGCCCGCTCCGTTCCTGCCGCTCAGCCCCGCTCTCTTCTGTGGGGCCGGGCAGGGCGGGTCTCCTGGCGCCTCCCGTCCCACATGGAGCCCCTGGGGGAGACCCTCGGCCCGTGTCCTCCCTGCAAGGGGCGCCCCCGGGTGAGCCAGAGGCCCGCAGAGCCGGCACGCCAGGCACGTGACATGTGGCCTAGCTGAAGGCTCAGATCGGCCGGGCCGGGCCCTGCGTGGGTGGGTGGGCACCCCGAGGCCCCTGCGTGGGTGGGTGGGCGGCCCGGGGTCCCTGCGTGGGTGGGTGCCCCCCAGGCCCCGCGTGGGTGGGTGGGTGCCCCCTGAGGCCCCTGTGTGGGTGGGCGCCCCGGCCCCTGCGTGGGTGGGTGCCCCCCCCACCCCTGCATGGGTGGGTAGGTGCCCCCTGAGGTCCCGCATGGGTGGGTGCCCCCCTGGGGCCCCGCGTGGGTGGGTGGCTGTCCTCCGAGGCCCCGCGTGGGTGGGTGGGTGCCCGGGGCTGCGCCCTGACCCGGCTCCCCGCAGCACCCGAGAGGCGGCTGCGTCTGGAAGCCCCCGCCGGGAGGGCGCGGGCTCCCGGGCCAAGGCGTGGGTGGACCCCTGGGTGCCCCTGGGACTGGCGACCCCCGGTGCCTGGCCACGGGCCCTGGGGCAGGCGGGGCGTGGAGTGCGGCTGGGCACAGGGCCAGGCGCCAAGAGCCGCGTGTGGCTGCGGCTCCTCCCAGCCGGCATCACCCTGTGTAGGGACGTCCTGGCCGGCTGCGTGGACGGGGCAGGCTGGGGCGGGGGGCAATCCGGCCTGTGGGCGGGGCACCCTGGAGAGGATGTCAGCCAGGGTCGGCTGGGGGGAGACAGGGCCTGTCTGCGCCAGAGGGGCCCCGACCCCCGGGGCCTGACCCCTGGGCTGACCCCATGGCCGCGCCCCGCAACAGAGTGCGGGGCTCCGGGTGCGCCCAGGGCCCGGCCCTGCCCCCGCACCGGGGCTGCCCGCGGGGTGCGAGCCCTGCCCGCCCCCTGTCTGCGTGTCTGCGGGCCGGGGCCTGGCCAGCCCCAGGGGAGCTGCGGGGAGCCGCGGGGAGCCGGGCGGGCGGGCGGTCCCGCCCTGTCCACTCTCCTCGGCGCCTCCCTCCGCACCCCCGCCCCGTCCCTCTCCGCGCGGCCCCAGGAGGGGCGGGTGTCCAGGTGTCGGTTCCCTCCGGCTCCGCGGGGTGCCCCCCGCGGGGTGGGGCCGGGGCCGCGCGCACCGCCAGGGCTTTGCGGACACGGGCAGCGAGACGAGGGCGCTTCCCTGGAGCAGGCCCCGCGGCCGTGCCCGCCGTGCGCCCTGGGCGACCCGCTGGGCCCCCCCCCCCCGCCGTGTGTCCGGCGGGCACGGGCCTGTCCTGCGCCCGCAGCAGGCGCAGCCGGGCTTGTTCCGCGGGAGCGGCCGCGGCCTGGAGCGCCGCCCCCGCCCCCCGCGCCGGCGGGGACCCCGGGGACCCCGCGCTCAGAGGGTGGGGCGCAGCCCCGCAGCCCCGCAGCGTCCCTCCACGCGCGCGTCGCCGGCCCGGGCGCGCTGCGGGCGCCGGCTGTGTCCAGCCTCACCGGAGCCCGCGCGCCTGGAAGCCGCCCCGCGGCTGGTCTCCTCCCGGCCCTCGGGGCGCCCCTCCTGGCGTGCGGCCGCGGGGGAGCCCGGGCCGGGGGCGGTCGGGCCGGGCGCGCGGGCCTCTCCCCGCCGCAGGTGCCGCCCGGCCGCGCGCCCCGGACGGCGAGGCCGGAGCCCCCTGCGCGCCGCCGCCCCGCCGCGCGCCGGCGTCCTCGGGCGGCGAGCCCCGGTGCGCAGCGCGGACCCGCCTCCCGCGGACGCGGCCGGGCGGATGCGGCGGCGCGGGGAGGGCGCGCCCGGCCGCTGCGGCCTCTGCACCTGCCCCGCGGCGGCTGCAGGTAACCGGGGCGCTCGGGCGCGCGGCGCGGGGCCGCCCGCAGGGCTGGGGCGCCGCCGCCGGCCCCTCCGCTCCGGGGAGCGCTGCGCGGGCGGCGGGGAGCCTGGGGGGGCGCCCCGGGGCCCGCGTGCCTGTGGGCGCGGGGTGCGCGCGCGCTGGGGGCCGCGGGGGGCGCGCCCAGGTGCCAGGTGCCCGCCCGCCGCTTCCGCTTCCGCCGCGCAGCCCCCGCCCCCCGCGCCCCTCGCCGGCGCGCGACCAATCCGGGGCGCGCGTCGCCGCCGCGCCCCCTCCCCGCGCCGCGCCCGCGCCCCCGGCGCCTTCCCCGGCGGAGCGGCGGGCGGCGGGATGCGGGGCCGGCGCGGGCGCGAGGACATGGCCCTGGCGGACCTGGCGCGGCGGCTCGCCGCGGTCTCCGGGCGCGCTGGTAGGCGGAGCCCCCGGGCCCCGCGCCGTCGCCGGCGAGCCGGGGCTCCGCGACAGCCGCTCGCGCCGCGGGGCCGGGGTGGGGGCGGCGGGGCCGGGGTGGGGGGCGGCGGGGGCGGGGGCGCGCCGGGGGCGGCGGGGGCCGGGGGCGCCGGGGGGCCGGGGGGCCGGGGTGGGGGGCGGCGGGGCGCGGGCGGCGGGGCGCGGCGGGCGGGCGGGGCGCGGGCGCCCGAGGACAATGTGGCGGGGCTCGGGGCCGGGGGAACGGGGCGGCGGGCCCCGAGGGGAGGTCGGCGTTCCCGGGGCTCGCCCCGCCCGGCCCCGCGGCGGGTGTCGGGGGCGCGGGGCCGGCGCGCGCCCCTCCCCGCTCGCCCGGGGCCGCGCCCGGAGATGCCGCGACTCGCTGCCCGCGGCTCGGCCGCGCGCCCCGGGAGGGCGTCCCCGGGAGCCGCGCCCGGCCCTGCGTGAGGCGGGGCGCGTGCCGGGGCGCGTGCGGGGCGCGGGGACCCTCCGCGCGGGCCGGGCGATGTCACCCCGGCTGAGCAGCGGCGCCCCCGCCCCGCCCCGCGCGCCACCCCCCCCACCCCGCGCCCCGCAGCGCCGGCTCCTCCCCGCGGCCCACCTCGCCGGCCGGGTCGCGGGCAGCCGGGACCGCAGGGACCGCAGGCCGAACGCCGGTGCCTGCGCCGCGCCCGCCCGCCCGCCAGCCCCGGCGCGGGGGGGGGGGGTCCCCGCAGGGAGGGGCGCGGGCCGGGAAGGCCCCTCGGCCGCAGGGTGGTTCGGGGCTCGTGCGGGGCCGTTGGCGGCCGGCGGGGAGCGGGGAGCGGGGCGGGGCGGCCCCCAGGACGAAGCCTGGGCCCAGGGCCTGGGCCGCGCCCTCTGAGAGCCTCGAGGTCACCGCGGAGGCCGCGCCCCTCCGCGCCCCTCCGCGCCCCTCGGGCCGCCGCCTCGGGTCGCTGCCCGTGCAGGGCCGTGCAGGGCGCGGGCGTGTGGCCGGGGCGCGGCCTGGCCCTGACCCGCGCCCCAGCGCCAGGCGGTGCCTCTGCGGGCCGCGGCGGCCCCTCCCGGCGCTTCCACCCGGCGGCCTCGCCGCGGCCCGGGGACAGCCCGAGCCTCTCCCGGCAGCGGGACCCCGGCCCCGGGCCCTGACGCGGGCGCGCCCCAGCGGGATCTTCCTTCTTTCCCGCTTCCCGCGCCTGGGGCCACGCGCCCCCGACGCCCCCGGGGCTGAGGCCGGGGCACCCCGCGCTGTCCTGACCCCGCGTCGAACCGGAGCCGCTCGCTCGGGGCTCGTCTCTGCCGGGCCGGCCCCGCCCGCCGCCCCGGCCGCGCTCGGGTCCAGCCTCCGCGGAGGCGCTGCCGGCGCTGCGGGCCCTGATGGCGCCGCCGGCCCTGAGCGGGCCCCGGGCCTGGGCCGGCCGTGCCAGCGCCGCGCGGCCGCTGCGCGGAGGACCTGGAGGTCCGGGCGGGGAAGCTCGCGCTCCGGTGGGAAGTCCCACGCGAACGCCAGCGCTTTTGCTGTTTCCCTGAGAAGCCCCGGCGGCCTCCTGGGCGGCACCTCCAGCTCGCGCGGGTCCAGGCACCACAGCGGTTCCGTGGCGGGGTTCTCCCCTCGCGGGCGCGGTGTCCCCAGAGCAGGGGCGTCCTGCGCGTCGGGCAGCCGGCCTCTCACCTCCAGGCTCGGAGCTGCCCGTGGGGTGCCCGAGGCTGGCCTTCCCGCCGTCCCCGCGCCTCCGGTCTCGGCTGTCCGCGGCGGCCCGCGTCCCCCGACGGCGGTGTCTAAGCTCCGGGCGCCGCGGCCAGAGAGGCTCGGAGCGGCTTCGATCTCTGGTTTTGAGGACCTCCCCTTGCTGCCCGGCGCGGCTGCTTCTTGCAAACGCTCCGTGTGCGCTTGGGAAGAGCGCGGCGGGGCTCTGGGGTGCAGTACTCGGGGTGGCTGTCGCCCTGTCTGCTCTAGCGCCTCATCTGAGGCTGTTGCTTCCTCCGCCGTCCTTTGTGCTGTTGCTCCGTCCACTACTGCAAGTGACGTCTGAAAGCCCTGCGTGTCGTTGCGTGGTCATCAGCGTCTCCCTGCGAGTCTGGCCTCGCCTGTCTGCCTCGGCGCCGTCCGTCGCTCGGCGCGTGTCGCTTGTAAGGGCCCCGTCTTGTCGCGGCCTCGGCCCCCAGCTTGACGCGGCGGCCCTGCCGTCACCGCCGGCTTTGTTTGAAAATGTGCTTTACCCGCCGTACGCGCCGCTGTTACTGTTCTTCTGGGTGGTTGTTTGCAAGACTGTCTTCTCGCCTCTCGCCGGGATCCCGTGTCGCCCTTGCGAGCAGACGGGTTTTTGCAGACGGCAGGACGGTGTCGTGGGGAAGCCCCCGCCGCTGCTCTGTGCGGTGGGCTCGGGGGTCAGGCGGCTCACGCGCGGGGTGGTGATGGAGACGGAACTGTGCATCGCTGTGTTGTTAACTTTCTGCTTCTCAGGGTCTTTCTAGATCTCTGGCGGTCTCCTTTCACATTTTGTTCAGGCTCCATTTCCCCGTCTGGCGTGTCGCTTCCACTGACCGTGTTTGCGGTGCGTGACGGTCTACGTGGGGGGCGGGGGGCTGCTGTCGGGGCGGCCCGGCCTCCAGCTCGCTCTGATGGGCCCGGCGTCACGCCCGCTCCTCCGCGTTGAACGGCTGGGGTGTCCGTCGCTGCCGCCGTTTCCTGCTTGTGAAGGAAACCGTTCAGGGTCTGGCGGGAGCAGGGTTAGACCCGCGGAGGTTCCCGTGACCCCTTAGAGCTTCCTTCATCCGCCACGCCGTGTTGACAAATTCTTTCAGTTTTGCCTTTCGGTTCCAGAGCCCCTCCCTCCTCTCCCCCCTTGAATGCTAAGCTCGCAGCCCAGGGGACCCTGGGGTACCACTGTCTCTCCGCACGGACTTTGGGTGTGGGCAGCCCCGCTCTGCTTGCGGTGTTTCTGCTGAGAAGCCCGACGCCCGGCCGGCCGGCGCCCTGTCTTCTGTCCGTGGCGCGGCCCCCCGTGGCCGGCTCCCAGCGCCCGCCTTCTCGTGTCTGGGCAGATCTGCGGGTGTCGGCTCACCCGCATGCTTTGGGGCCCCTCGGACGGCTACATCTGGCTTGTTCCCAGGCTGAGGTGGTTTTCAGCCATTCCTTCTCTTTCAGGCCTCCTCATGGGGCCCCTGTCGTACTGGGGCCCGAAGGGCTACCCCGAGGAGTCTTACGCTATTTTTGCTTTTTATTTATTTATTTTTTAAGATTATTTACTTTTATACAAGATCCGGGGTGCAGGCCAGAGGTGCGGGGGTGAGAGGACTCATCAGAGACAGAGCGGGGAGCAGAACAGGCAGACTGACGAAATCCATGCTGAGGGGCGCAGCGGGGAGACCGGAGAGGTCTGCTGCAGCATGTGGGACCCTCGCCGGCCGGCCGGATCAAACCCGCGCTGCAGAGGCTGCGGGCAGCGTCACAGTGCGGGGTCAACCGCCTGCGCCACCAGGGAGGCCCTATTTTCGCTTTTTAAATTCCTGTCCTCTGTGGCGCTCTGTCTGCAGGTGTCCGGCTGCTGAGCTCCTTCTCCCGGCTGTGGGGCGTGGCTGCTGGCGAGGCCTGTGCGCGCCCTTAACTCGGCTGTTCGCCCCTAACTGTTCCTTGTAGACGTGGCCGCCTCTGCCTTCTGCCTTTACCTCGTGGCTGTTTTGTGTCCTCGGGGTGTTTCCCTTCGCTCCCCAGCTCTGGGGCCCCCGCAGGCGTGCTCGGGCTCTGCTGGACCGAGGCTCTTTGGGGGTGCTCCGGCACTTGTGACGTGTCCCCCCATCCCCTCGTGGCTGCTTTCCGGGGCTGTGATCAGTGAGAGGCTCAGGTGCTACCGCCCCTGCTGAAGCCGTCAGAGGCTGGGCACTGGCACGGGGCCATGGCAGAAAGAGACGGGCAGAAGGGTGCCAGCGGGTCTGCGCGTGAGTGTGAGGGGTTCAGGCTTCCTGCCATGAGCTGGAGATCCACAGTGACGCCCTCCTAGGCCTGCTCCCCAGCCTAGTGTCTTGTGCGGTCTCGTGCCCCCTTCCTCGCTAAGCTGTTTTCAAGCACTGGGTGTGACGCTGGCACAGGTGGTGGCTCCGGGGACACAGGCTGGGGCTGTCCTCGTTTCTTTTCCAGCACAGACCCTCCTCCTGCACCCAGAGCCTCTGCACCCAGGGCCTCTGCACCCAGGGCCTCCGCACCCGTCCTTGACGCTGAGCGCGGGCTCACCCACAGGGACGGGTCAGCGAGAACCAGGGCTCATTGGCCAGTGGAAAATCCCACGGTGTGTTCCAGAGGTTTGCTCCCCCAAGTACATCCAAGAGAGGAAAGGCAGGTGTGGGTGGGGCCCCCATATCAGAACCGGGCTCTGGAGCCCTGGGTCTGTGGCGCCAGCGGCCTGGCCCTGCTGGGGTCCTGCCAGGCTCTGGCCAGTTCTCAGGGCTCTCTGCGTCATTTGGGGGGGAGGGGCAGAGCCGGGCTGGGCCCCAGAGCGGTGGCCTCATGGACACGGAGCAGCCTCTGTCCTGCTGAACCCGGCTGACCCGGAGGCTCGGGCCGGAGCGGCGCCTGGCAGCCAGGCAGACGCACAGCTGTTTCCTCCTGACGGGGGGCGCCCCCGGCCCTGCCCGCCCAGCGTGGGCCCTGGGCCGCGCGTGCTGCGGGTCTCGGTCGCGCCCGGGGCTGCTGGCGGCGCCCAGGTGGAGGCGGCCAGCGGGTGCCCAGTGCGGGCGGGCAGGGCAGGAAGCAGGGGGGCCCCCACAGGCCAGCGGGGGTCCTGGCCCAGGCGACGCCCCCGCTTCCTCCCGAGCTGGACGGGCGCGGAACTCCCCCGCCTGCAGCCGCTCCGCCCTTCCTCCGCCTCGGGGTTGTTTGAACTCGAGACTTCCTGAGCGCGGAGGTGTCTCTGGCCTGGCCCCGAGCTGCGGCAGCGCAGACCCTCGCCGGGAAGGAAACACCCGGGCCTTGAAAATAGGCCGCGGCCGCGCCTGGCCCGGGCT